TAGACACGTCGATGACGTTGACTGTCTTTCTGAGCCATTTGCTGGCGGCGCCATCTACAATGGCACTTTCAAGCAATGGCCAATTGAGCCCATGGAAAATAATTTCTTCAGCCACACCGGCAACCCCGGTCTTACAAATTTCACCTGCGATGTGAGTGGCGCATCTTCGACGAGTGGTGCCCCAGTCGAATGTAATATTACCAATCTCGTTAGCGACGATGTGACAGAGTATGAGTACTGTGGACGCCGTGGACAATGTGACTTTACTTCGGGCACGTGCTACTGTATTGATGGCTACGAAGGTTCCACTTGTACAGCATCAAGTTATGCAGAGTCTGGTTCTAACACCCTCCCTGGTGTCGACATTCACGCTGCTGGAAATGATTACGTCGGAGACCTGTTTAAGCTGAGTACTGACAAGTCGTCTGCATCTGACTTCACCTTCATGAAAATTATCGCAGATGACGAGGATTTGCTAAGTATCCGAGGCGATGGACTGCTATCAATCGCACAAATTGATGTAACCACGTATGGGGCAACAGTTTCAGCGGGTGGTCTCACAATACTGACCGATGGTGCGAAAATAGAAGACGGTGGGCTCCAAGTTTCAAGTACTGCACTCGACGATCCAGTCCTCCACATTGTTGGTGACGGAGAGTCATTTACGGACGCCTTGCTGCGCGTTGACTCGGTGCGGTCTGAAGATGCCAATTATTGGTTTGCGCGCTTTAACACAGCCTACGACGTAACAGATGGGAGTTACGACGTAAATGTATTTTCCATTCGTGGAGATGGTTACACGAAGATTGAAGGCGAACTACACGTAAACAACGTGACTTCGGTGCACAGCCTTGAACTCACTGGTGCTGGCTTCACAATTAATCAGGGTGGACTCCACATCATAGAGGACGGTGCTACTATCTATGATGGTGGAGCAGAGATCCGCAATAACAACTTGACTGTCCTCCGCGCGTACCATAATGATGCTTTCCGTGACAAGGATAATGGAACTGTTTTTTCCGTCGAATCTTCCGCAGATTTCACGCGTGATATAAACCTCATCGAAGCAATCATGGATGCAGACAGTGCTTACACTCCTGAAACGGTCTTTCGTGTCAACGGCCTCCCAAGGACATATATCGACCAGGGTGGCCTTGATGTCATTGGAGGCATCACTGTCTCCAGTGCTGGCATCAACATAACTGCAGGTGGCCTTTGGGTATCTTCAGGCGGTGTGCATGTCCAAGGTGGGAACTTGATCATTGATAACGA